TTTGAGAGCTTCAATATGCTCTCGATTTCCTGTGGATTGACTAAGTCATTCTAATTCCACGATGTTCATGACATTCAGAGTGTGCTGAACACGGGTGATATTCAGAGTGTGGGGACTCAGCAGTTTTATCTGAACTTTTCCATAGTTTAAGTTTAATACACTGTTTAAGACAAATAAAATAAGACTTTCTTTGTCTATAGCCAGTCCAAAAATAATGTAAAATCTCTTTAAAACCCTGATCATAAGTTAGAGCTCAGTTAAAATGCCAGTAAGTGCTTCTAGATAAAATGTTTCTAATAAAAACACTACCTAAAAGCAACAAGTGATCTGTAAAAGCCACCAGTAAAATCTGGCATCTTTTAAACACGTTAAAATGGTGTTTTAAATAATAATAAAAAAATCAAGACTAAAGAGATAATGTGAGACCATGTGTACTGCCTGGAGCCTGCATGCATCCTCCTCCATACATCCACCAGGCCATGAGATGAGAGCATGTTGGGCCGCTGGATGCGGCTCTGCATGATTACGGTCTAAAAACTCATTTTCAGTGCAATTAAAATCCCCACCTATAAAAACATAGTCCTCAGACCCACAATCACCCAACCTTTCCCCAATTTTTTCATAAAAACACTTTTTCTCTGCATTGCTGATAGGAGCATAAATATTAATTAAAACTATACTAAAATGATCAAACTTTGTCTTGACTAAAAGACACCTCCCTGAATGACATGTTCAACTTCAGTACAGTTTGGGGTGAAAGCTCTGGAAAAGAGGAAGCCCACCCCTGCACTCTGGGAGGTGCCGTGGCTTAAAATGACCTCCCCCCTCCACTCTCTGCCCCAGTCTGTCTCTATTAAATGATCACTGTGCGTTTCATGCAGGTAAGTTACATCAATTTTCTTTTGGTTCAGCATTTGATAAATCAAAGCACGTTTTTCAGCCTCCCTCACCTCAAAGATGCTACTTTAAAAGAATCCATATTGGGTAAAAAGCTAAAAATAAAAGACCAAAAGACTATAAAAAATAAAGTGCTGCTGTGCATTATTTAAATCAAAGTTGTTTTCTAACTTTGGTCATTATTTTCTTTAGTCTAAAAACTTCTGAATCTGTAAAACCTGATACTTCTTTGTTCCTAATATGATGTCTTGCAGAGAAATAAAATCATCTCAAATTAGGAAAATATCTTTCAATTTTTACACTTCTAAATCCTTTAGTTTGTTCTAAAATAGTTTTAAAAGATTCTGTAGGGTATCTAGGTTCTCTTATGCTCGTTTGTGACACATCTCGCTGGTGTCAGAGACCCAGCTCTCGGCGTTACTACTGTCCGACAGCTCTATCCTCTGCAGCCACCTTGCTGGCCTGTTTACTGGCCTGCACAGCGGCCACCACATTCCTCCTTTTGCTTCGCCTCTTTATCGGGGCTGAAGCCTCCATCGCCTCCTCTGCTTCATCTGTCTCTCCTGCCACTCCAGCTCCAAACACCGACTCTGCACTGTTCTGTCCCTCTGCCTGCACCTCTCCTTTCCCTCCCTGATCCCCACACACTAAATACTCCTCATCGCCCCTCACCTGCTCCTGCTCTCCTTGCACACTTCATGTTAGAGGACGTAGCAAACAAGATGTAGTCAAAATCATCTACTCTAACATGAAATCGCAGGTTGAGTTCTTCATCCCGCCGATTCAATATCATAAACAGTTGTCTCCTATGGGAGACAACATGTTTTAACAACGGTGATTTGCACCCAGACGGTACTTTTTTCATAGGTGACACCACCTTCCCGTGCCGAGACAGCTCTTTTATCAAAAACTCGTCACTTATGAAAGGAGGCACGTTTGACAGTGACCTTAGTTGAAGGTAAAGTCAGTGGCGACACCTGTAAAAATAAGCCGTTTACCGAAACGCCCACCTCCACCAGCTGTTGAGCCTGCACCACTTTTTCCACTAACAAGACGACAGCTCCATTCATGCGAGCTACCGACTTGATGGACCCATGTCCAATCACTTTTCCCACAGCCAAACAAACTTCCTCCACGCTGCACAGAGAACCAGCACCCACTTTGACGCCGTTCTTCGGTGTCAGCGTGGAGAAAGCCCCACCACTAGACACCATGGTGTCGTAAGATGCCGGCCAGTCAGGCACGCCTGACGGCCACACCCGAACCCAAACAAAAACCCCTTAAAACGTGACAAACTAACACAAAATCACAACTAAACAAGTAACATAAACACCAAGTGAAAAAACAGTAAGAATAAAGCCAAAGATATAGAAATACAAACACTCGCTCTCTCGCTCTTCTTCCGCTCTCCACTCACCCTGCTTTCATTATATGTGGATTTTTCTTCAACCACCAGGGGCCTCTTTAGCAGGAAGTAAATCATTGGAAGTCAAAATTGGAA